GCATAATAATTTTTTTTAAATGAATTTGCAAAAATATTTTTTTCTGTGCACCAAAGGGCACACGTTTGCCATGCTTTCGGCTTGAGGATCAGTGGTAGGTAGCTATTGCCAAGATTGGTTTTCCAAGTTTTATTTGTGTGTGGTTGTTTGGCTGTCAATCTACCCGGCTTTTTGGGGAGCAAGGATGGCAGCTTTCAATCTAGGTTTTTGGAACTTTTTATGTTGGGCGCCATTTGTTAAAAATATTTTTTTTTTCAGAGGACTACCTTAGGTGTGGATTTTCTACATATTTCCTCAGAAACCTACAATAGGCCTGTATTAAAAAAAATCCAGGGCCCACCAAAGGCCTACATTAGGCGTGCATTTAGGCGTGCCTAAGGACCTACCTTAGGCGTGCATTTTTTATAAATATTTTTTCAAGGGCCTACCAGGGCCTTATAGGCGTGATTTTTTTTAAAAATAATTTTCCAGGGCCTATCATAGGCTTGGATTTTTATACCCCACACAATTTTGTTTTCAGGGTATTATAGCTTTGTGCAGCCCCAAGAGTTTGTAACGTCGCAAAATATTTTTCCTAGACCCGCCTTTGAGTATACCGATCGTTATATCTCGACTAGCTGAGTTTATCTAGACATGTGTGTCTATCCGTCCGTCAGTCTGTCCATTATAATTTGTAAACACGATACAGGCCACAGTTATGGACCAATCGTCACGAAATTTTGCATGTAGGATGGGTTCGGTCCAATGAAGACCCCTATTGTAAAGATTCGTTAATATTTAGGGGATGAAAAGGACCAAATACTTAATTTTGTCTGTTTTTCTGCTCGCTCCGGAGACCGCAATTATGGACCGAACATCGCGAAATTTTACATGGAGAAGGGGATCGGGCCAAGGAATAGCGTGCCTGTTTTGATATGGACCCTGACTTTTGTGTAGAAAATGACAAAATTTGTATTTTATAGCGTATATTTTTGCCCCTGAAGGACATAGACCCAAAATGTTGATAGTATATCCAAGAGGAGTGGTTGACCTTTAAATTGATACCAATTATATGGCTGTATGTACTCGGGTGTGGGAGTTAACTTAACCCGTTACCACACTAGAGAGCGAAAATATAGCGCTGATCGCTTTGAAAAGTCTATAATTTTCGGCGATAACCAGGGAATAATTTTGGGATGAGGTGGACAAAAAACTTAGTTTTTGTGTTTTTTTTTCGAATCGATCTATAGGCCACAATTTTAAGCCGAACATCACAATCCCCGGTGAAGGGAATATGACAAGTAATTAGAAGGACTGTACTGCATATGAATAGTAATATTCGGAAAATAAGTCAGTTTAAGGAAGAGGTGCAGCTGACCTCTAATCGGTGCAACTATCTCAATATATTGCCCAGGCTCGGAATAAAAATTCGCAGAAAGTCAGAGTTCCGTGGTAGTTGTGTCGGGTATCGTATGGTCGGCCCCGTTCGACTATACTGATCCGCTCACTGGTTTAAAAATAATTTGCTAGGGCCTCATATAGGTCTGGATTTTTAAAAATAATTTTCCAGGACCTATTATGGGCCTGGATTTATAATTTTCCAAGGTCCTTACATTGAAAAGTGTTTAAGAAAAATGCTTAAACAATTTTCCACAAATTGATATGTCCCATCCCTGACCTCAGATGTCAAAGCTTATCTCCACCAAGTTGATTACTGTTTGTTTGAGTTTTTATAATGACATTAAAGAAGCCGTCTATTACAAAGAAATTAAGGATTCAAAGGACCCGCCGAATAAATGGAATTTGTTTATTTAGATTTTACATTAGCAACACAATATGCCCATCGAAAGAGGAAGGGGGTAGGGGGAAAACTACTGTTTTTTTTCTAATAATGACAAACAAAGCAACATTTTTGCTGTTGTTGTTATCTTCTCATAAGCCTTCCAAACGGAAACTTGTCTGCCTCAGCTCAGGTTTTGTTACAATGAAAAAAGAACAGAAATACAACCGAATCTTCCATCCATTCTAATTTGCATGTGGGTGGGATGGCTGGTTGACTGGCTGGATGTGTAAATTGTTATTCATAGCCTTTTGTTGCCTTTTACTCTGTCTGTGTGTTGTTGTTGTAAATGTTGTCGGCTTCTATTTCTTTTCTTTTTTGTTGTTGCTGTTTCCTTTGGGCCATTCGCTTAGAATGCAGGCAGCCAGGCTGTTGTCTTTGTATAGGGTTTGTGTATTTTTTTCTGTTCTATGCAAGGCATATGTTTTTTTATGTTGTTTGCTTTGTTGTTGTTGCTTGTATCCTCTCTCACAACCAAGTCGTACTCTAACTGGGTTCTCTGCTCTACGGTGCTCCTTGCATGAGTCAATGAAAACATTACGAATTACATTTACACGAGACGACAAAGAAACCACCGTTTGCCCGCATACAACGGACGTACAACGGTTTGGGGAGATGTGCTCTCTCACCAAACATCACTCACTAGCACACACACACACTCTCTATGAATTGCACGAAGACGAAGAGTTGAAGTTGAAGAAAATAAAAAAAAACAACATCTTCCTTCTAACACAAATCTCACACCATTCATTACTTTTTCTTCTTCTACTTTTTTCCTTTAAATTACTCACATTTTTTCTGAATTAGATTTAGAAAATAGTTTCACGAATTATTTTCCACTAATAAACTCCCACTTGTTTTTATTCTTTTTATTATTTTTCTTTTTTTTCAAAAACAGATTTACTAAAAATTTGTTTATTTTTTGTTTAAACTGCTCTCTTTTCGTTTTATTTGATTTTTTGTTGTTGTTGTCGTTTCTTTTCTTTCACAAACTTTTGTTTGTTAAATACACACATCTATTGTTTCTTTAGCTTTTTTGTTTTTGTTGTGGAGGTAAAACCGAGAACAGGAAATTAACACCCGTCGTTTCGTTTCGTTCATCCGTCGCTTTCATGTATCTGCGGCAGTAGTTGGAGTTGTACTGATTTGCGACTCTGCGAGAGTGTGTGACTTTGTGGGTAATTAGTACTTAACGTAACGTAACGTAGGGCATCAATAACACATTAAGAGTAGTTGGCAACGCGTTGCCAATTGTAAAGTAAAGGAGTTGCCATAGTTTTAATTAATGTTAAAGGGAATTGAATGGAACGTTCATTTTAATTAAATTAGGAGGGAAATAAATGAAAAAATGTGTTTAAAAATAAAATTAGCGTGGAATTCATAAATATTCTTCTGGAACGCGAAAGAGATGATAATTTTTACATACTTTCCTGGTTCCTAAAACAAGTATAGAATGTTTAAGAATATTTTTTCAGTGTCTAAATAAGCTCAGATTTTTAAAATAATTTTTCCGAGTCTGAACGAAGATTTTAAAATTTAGGCTTGGAAAATTATTTTCCAGAGTCCAAATATAAGTCCCGACTTTAAAGAATATTTTTGTCTGCTTTCTGAAGTAGGGTCTAGATTTATAAATATATTTTATTTTCTGCATCTAAAAACAGGCTTACATTAAAAACATTTTCTGAGTCTTATTAAAGGCGAAGATAGGTTACAAAATTTTTTAGGACCTAAAATAGGAGTAGTTTTCTTAGATGACATTAAAATATATTTTTCTGTGGCCTAATCTGGGTATGGATTTCGTAAAACTATATTTTACTGGGTTCATAAAACGGTGTAGTTTTTATACCCTTCACAACTATGTTGTTAGGGTATTACAGCTTTGTGCAGCCCCAAGAGTTTGTAATGCGGCGAAATATTGGTCCTAGATCCACCTTTAAGTAATGATTGGCCATTATTTGCGGGTCAAATGGACTCTAACTTTTGTGTGAAAAATGACAAATATTTATATATATTGTATATATTTACTCCCGAAGAACATAGACCTGAGAAGTTGACAGTATGTCCAAGAGGAGTGGCTGACCTTCAAATTGATATCAATTATATTGTCGTATGTACTCGGATGTGGGAATTACAGGACAATATTTACAGGTGCTTACGCATTATTTAGTAATCCATTACCACATTAGATGACGTAAATATATCGATGGGGTTCGAGTTATGGTCAAGGACAACTCCTATAATTTTCAGGGATGATCAGATAAAAATGTTGGGATGAATTGGACCGAAAACTTAGTTTGTTGTGTTTTTTGGAGTCGGATTATATGCCACAATTAAAAGCCGGACATCACAACACAATTCACGGTGAAGAGAATCTGGACAAGTATTTAGAAGGGTTGTACTTAATGTTAGTAATATCCGTAAAATATGTCAGTGTAAGGAAGAGGTGCTATTGACTTAATCGGGCAAGGGGGTGCAAATATCCCGAAATATTGCCAAGGCTCGGAAAAAATCAGGAGAAAATTAGAGTTTCGTGGTAGTTGTGTAGGGTATCGTATGGTCGGCTCCGTCCGACTATACTACTCCGCTCACTGTTTTAGTCACATTTTCTGTGTAGAATATCTTAGAATATTCTTTCGGTGACCTAAAATTAGAGTAGATTTGTTTAAAAATACTTTTTGGCTCTCAAAATAGGCGCAAATTTTTAATAAGGGGTTTTCAGGCGTGGATTTTTTTTAAGAAAAAAGTTTTTCAGGTCCATAACTTCGGCGTAGATACTTTTAAAAACATTTTTTCAGTCCCTTTAATTCGGTGTAAATTTTGTTTAATATTTACTCAGGTTCTCGAACGCAACCTGCATTTATTTTATTTCATATTGGTTTAAATATTATTAGACCCACTGTATATCTCATATTGTGGTGGTGAATTTATCTCAAACCCATTTTCAATTTAAATAGCAAATTCAAGAACCCTGTGAACAAAACGATAGTTTGCTCTCTAGTCGTTAGATGGCAACGTGGTGAAAAAGTCTTTTTTCTTATTTTAAGGTGAATATTTTCCTAGCCCTTCTATTTTCTATCAATAAATTCTAAATGTTATTAATTTTTAATTTTTATTTCTATTTTCTTTTTTTCTTATAAAATTTACAAAAAATATTTCGATTTTTTCTAAAAAATTCTCTCTCTCTTAAATCTCAGGATAGGCACTACCAATTAAACTCTTGCCACGATAACGCCACGAATAGGTAACAATACCAAATTTACTGTTACCCAAGGACACAGGGCAGGTTCTGTCAGGACGCAATTTAAAGCAGACCGTATACAGGGCCAATTCCAATTCGGGCGAGGTGCCCACAAACAAGGTGTTAACCGGTTTATTCAGACCCTTGTGGGTGAAACGGACCTTCAAGACCTTGGCTTTCTGTGAAAGAAATAAAAAATATTTAGAGAGATTTATACGAGAAATTCAAACTCCCAACTTACATTTCCCAAATCGATTTGATTTAGATAACCCTTATAGTCCAAACGTCCGGCCTTCTCCTCATCGGCAAAGTACACCCAATTGTGTAGGCCAATAATGGTGCCGTTCTTGACCTCATTAACAAAGACATGTTCAAAGCCAGAGCTGCCAATGCGGCCATTGCCTCGTGAGTATTGGGTAAACCACAACTCCTTGACCATGTCGCGATGGGTTTTGGGGTCAGGGCCCACAATGCCTTAAGGAAAAAAATATTTTTAATTTTTAAATTTAGAAATAAAAATATGAAGCCTCTCTTTACCCTTATTCTGCAGGAACAGCATAGCCTGGCGCATAACACTGCTGGCCATCACGGCATCCAGAAAGTCATTTTCCTCCTTGCGTTCATTGGGAGTGACATGTTCATTGGTCATGGTGTCCTCTTCATAGTTATTGAAGAGCAAACGCATCTTGGCCACAGTGGGGTTTTCAAAAACTTTGGGATTGATATCCAACAACCTAAAAAAATACCGAACAAAAAATTAAAATCTCCCCTAAAAATTAATTTCCTTATAGACTTACGGCTGAGGTGCTTCATCGGTACTATCAATGGATCGAGTTTTACCCTGAGGATTAACAGTCACCAAACTTAGCTGGCTATTCGTCTCCTTGGTGTACAAAGTCTCGGTAAGGGTTTGTATCTCCGCATCACTGGCCACGGGATTGTTGTCGGTACTGGATTGGAAGCCGGGGCGGACAGTGGTGGTGCCGCGACCACCAGAGTGGGGCACAAACGATACACCATTACCACCTGGACTACCAGGAGCTGCCGGAGACTTGGGTGTGGGAGTCTTAACGGTGGTGGTTGTGGAGAATGCGGCGCCAGCTGGTGTGGGCAGAGGTTTATTCCAGGCCGATGGTGATGAGGGGCTATGTGGCGAACCTGGCGTGGGTGTTGGTGACTTGGGCACTGGCAATGCAGGGAAATCTTCTTTAACACTGCCACTTGATGGGCGTCTGGGTCCAGGCAGGGCTGGGAAATCCTCCTTGGTTGGTGTGGAGGGTTTCTTGGGATCCGCCATGCCTCCACGTAAATCAAATGCCATTTGATTGGGTTTGGCTGTGGTGGTCGTTGTAGTGGAGGTTGTTGTTGTGGTCTGAGTGCTAGCCACACCAGGTCCAGGGCCAAAACCAGGGCGTACACTTGGCTGTACAGGTCTACTAATACCACCACCACCATAGCTTAAATCAAATCCAGAGGGTTGTGACTTCTGAGGTGGCTGATAAGGTCCAAAACCGGGCAAAACATTTGGTTGTCCTGCCACATTGGGTCTGGGTAAGTTGTTATTTTGTGATGTTGTAGACTGGGAAGCGGGTACCGAAGGTGAATGACCTCCAATTGGTTTGGGTAGATTGTGTTGATTCGTTTGTGCTGTGGGTGCGGCGGGGAAATTGAACGCACCACCACTACCACTTTGTGTGGGTCCACTGGGTTTGGGTACATTATTGGCCACATTGTAGGAACTTTGAGGCTGGGTGGGTTTAACGGTGGTAGAGCTGGGAGTGCCTGCTGGTAAAATTGGACTACCCGGCATATGGGCACCACCTGGGACATAGGTGCCACCACCACCAAAACCGGCATTAGGTTGTCCCGGCAATTGTGGTTTAACCTGAGGATTTTGTGGATTCACCTGTGGAAATTGTGGTGGCTGCTGAGGATTATCACCCCATGGTGATGTGGAGGGTGTATCTGGTCGTGGACCCAATGGTACCATGGGTGCTGGTTTTAAATTAAGATTCAATGGTGGTGGCCGATTAGCCGGACCGGATGTTTGGCCAGAAATGGCATTATTGGGGCCGGGCACAGTTTGTGGTGTTTTGGCGGTGGTGGCTTCTAGAACGGGTAAGGGTGTAGTGGTAGTGGTTGTGGTACCACGCTTGAACCAACCAAAAAATCCACCACTTTTGGCTGTTGTTGTTTCCTCAGGAGGTGCGGGAGTTATGGCCACTTCAGTTTTATAGGATGCTGGAAGGGTAACGGAAAGAAGAAAATAAGAATCAGATCTTTTTTAAAAAAGTTACAGGTCCCTATTTCTATCCAATTAATAAAAAGGCTCCAAAGGACACTTATTTTTCAGTTGAAAATAAGAAAAACTGATATCTGGAGGCCAAGAAAAAATATATATTAAATTATAAAAAATAACCCCCAAGGGAATATTAAATAAAAAACTTAAACCCTATAATTTCGAAAAATGCTTTTCTTCCATTGAAAAATTAAATTGGGTCATCCGTATTTTTTATTTTTGTTTCCATTGAAACCATTTTTTTCTTTAAAATAATTTCGTTTTGAATTTTAAATTCAATTGAAATTGTCTACCGATAAGAGTGACTTGCAGGTCATTTGCGACATAGCGATTACAGTGGAATCTCCTAAAGCTATAGAGATGAGGTAGATTTTTTTTTTTATATTTTTCCTTGGATTTCCCTATGTATTTTTATTATATAAGGGCTTTTTTTATTAATACTTCTTTGGTCTACCTTGGGCGTGGATTTTTTATAAATATTTTTCTAGGGTCAACTTTTCAAATCCATAATTTTTTACTTTTACTATATTTTTGATGACGATTATTTACTTTCTGATTTTTACTAAATCCAAACTGGCAACGCTGTTTCAAAATCGTGTCCATTTATCCCAGTAAAAAATTATACATAAACATTCTCTAGAAATGCCATTAAGCTGCCAGCTGTTCATAGCTACTACCTTCAGGTACCCAGAAATAACCTTACCTACCTACATAAATCCACCTTCAAAAATTTCTCAAGTGCAAATTTAAACACAACATCCCAACCAATAAACAAAAAAAATATTACCTGCGATTTCGAACTGAATCACACAGCAAATAACCAAAAATATGGCCGTTGTTGTTTTTGGTATTTTCAATAACATTATTACGTGTATTCTTGACGAACAATCAATGCTGTTTTAAAAGACGCACGATAAATAAAACAATAACAATTTATATATCAATCACGGTTTAAGCCAACTATTGGCTTGTATTTAAAAGACAACACACACACACACTCGAAAATAATCTTTCGGACTTCACGTTGTGAATGCGGCAAATGCTGAAGAAAGACTGAAGAGCAGCGATCTATCTGGGATTGCTTGGAGGGTTCAATTTACCAATCCATTTTCATCTCAACTTTTGTAAATCGTAGATGTTTGGCATTGTTTTAAATAAGGCAAGATCCCACACACAAAACACACATACACATACACACCTACACATGTGTGTTGTATACATTATCTGCCCAGAGAGAGAGAGAGAGGGAGAAAACATGGCCCAGGGTTTTGTCTTAAAAAATAAAATTTTTCATTGCTTGTTTTTGTTTAGTTTTGCATAATGAGGTTTTCGTTTTGGCAAACAAGACCTTCTTTCAAAAAAAAAAAAAAAAAAAAAAAAAAACTGGTTCACATAACAAAGAGAGGCTTTGTTTTTAAATGGGAGAGCCCGGCTTTAACAGGTTACACAAAGAACAAGGGAGGAAGGGAGAGAGAGAGAATTTCATAAACAAATCAAAACATTACCTTCTTCAAGGGAAAAGGTGTTAACAGCTGTTGTGTTGTCATGTATGTGTGGTAACCGTTACTATTTTGTAGAACATTCGATTCCATTTATTTGGCAACACTGTTTTAATTTCAAATCTAGTATTCATATTTTTTTTCATTTCATTTCATTAGAATCTTATCTATCGCTTGTGAAATGAAAAAAAAACCCCACAGGTCAAGATGTGACTCAATTTTAATTGATTCCAATTGAGATTTTTTTGTGTTGTGTGTGTTTTTGTTGTTGTTTTTTTTTTTAATTTCAGCTGAAAAACAAACAACGGAATTTGTGTGGTGAATTGAAAGTGGCATGGTAATTTGGAGGTAAACATTGTATAATTAAAAAAAAAAAAAAAATACGTACGACGAACGGAATTTGCATATGATTTTGTTCGAACAATGAATAGACTCTACTTCAGTATAAGAGGAGGATTGCGAGCTCTTATACTGCGAAGAAAATGTTATAGAAATTAAACGAAAATATAGAAAATTACCTCAATGTTCATGTAGTATATAAAATATTATCTCTGAGCTCAGACGATACCCCCAGAATCAGTATAGTCTACAGGAAGTGGTCTCCGAGCCTGTGCATTTTTTTTTAAATATTTTTCTAGGGGTCTTTTAGGATTTTTTAAAAATATTTTTGTAGGGATGTTCTTTGGGAGGGTTTTTCTAAAAATAATTTTCTAGTGGTCTACTTCAGGCGCAGATTTTTATACCGTACACAACTATGTTGTCAGGGTATTATAGCTTTGTGCAGCCACAAGAATTTGTAACCCCGCAAAATATTGGTCCAAGACCCACCTTTAAGTATACCAATTTTTTTTTTAAATATTTTTCTAGGAGTCTACTTCAGGCGTAGATTTTTATACCCTACACAACTATGTTGTCAGGGTATTATAGCTTTGTGCAGCCCCAAGAGTTTGTAACGCAGGGAAATATTGATCCTAGATCCACCTTTAAGTATACCGATCGTCATATCTCGACTAGCATATGTGTCCGTCCGTCCGTGTCCGTCCGTCCGTCTGTCCATTATAATTTGTAAACACGATACAGGTCACAGTTATGGACCAATCTTCACGAAATTGTGCATGTAGGATGGGTTCGGCCCAATGAATACCCCTATTGTTTTTGGTAAATATTGTAAATGTCGTTTTTTCTAGTCGCTCCAGAGGCCGCAATTACGGCCCAAACTCCGCGAAGTTTTGCATGGAGAAGGGGATCGAGCCAAAGAATAAGCATGCCTGTTTTGATAAAGATCGGTCAATATTTAGCGGGTCAAATTTGACCCTGACTTTTGTGTGAAAAATTATCAAATTTGTATTCTACGGTGTATATGTTTACTCCTGAAGGACATAGACCCGAGAAGTTGATAATGTATCCAAGAGGAGTGGTTGACCTTCAAATTGATACCAATTATATTGACGTATGTAGTCGGATGTGGGAGTTACACGTAAATATTGAAGGTGCTTACGTTTTCAGATAATATTTAGTAACCCATTACCACACTAGATGGCGGAAATATAGCGCTGATCGCTTTGAAATGTTCCATGAGGTTCCAGTTATGGTCAAAGCCTATAATCTTCGGTAATGATCAGATATTAATTTTGGGATGAAGTGGACCGAAAACTTATTTTTTTTGTGTTTTTTGAGTCGATCAGTAGGCCACAATTGAAAGACGAACATCACAACACAACATACGGTGAAGGGCATATGGACAAGTAATTAGAAGGGCTGTACTGAATATTGGTAATATTCCGCAAAATATGTCAGTGTAAGGAAGAAGGTGCAACTATCACGAAATGTTACCTAGGCTCGGAATAAAAATACGCAGAAACATAGAGTTCTGTGGTAGTTGTGTAGGGTAACGTACGGGAGGCCGCGTCCGACTATACTGCTCCACTCATTGGTTTATAAATATTTTTCTGTGGTCTACCTTAGGCGTGTATTTTTTTTAAATATTTTTCTGGGAGGCTATCTATTTTGCATTTTTTCATTTCAGGTTGTTATGAATAATATATGCTCGGATTTCCGTATGATGATATTTTTATGGTCCATTTATGGTTGTAGATTTTTAAAAAAGATGTTTATGGTTCTTATGGGCGTAGATTCTTGAAAACATTTTTTAAGGTCCTTTTTTATTATCCGTTTTTGGGTTTAGTGTTATTTTATATTTTTATGTCTCCTTTATGGGCGTGAATTTTTAAAAAAAATTTTTTTTGGTCCATTTATGGGAGTAGATTTTTTAAAAATATTTTATGGTCGTAGATTTTTTTGGTTTATAGTATTTTTTTTCCTTCCATTTCCCCCGAGTTGCCAACTTACCATTTTTTATAACAATTTCCCCTGTCAATAAAATAAAATTTTTAATATGGTATTTTTTTCAAGATTTTTCATAATGAATTTTTATTTAATTGATTGTTCTGCACTTTTTTGCAAGTGTTTCCATTTGTTTTAGTAATACTTATTTTTTTTGTTCTTGTTTAAATAATTTTTTTTTGTTCTTGTGTTACTTTTTTATAATTTATAGAGAGTTTATATAGTATATATGAATATATGTGGGTAATTTTTTTTCTTATGCGACATCTGATGCCTTTTGTCAAGAGAGTTGTTTTTTTTTTGTTTTTAAAAAAATTTTTTTTTAATAAAAATGATGGTGATTTTTTTAGTAATGATGTGGTGATCTGTTTTTTTAATTTGTAATACACGTAATAGGAATTTAGGTGCTAGATGACATATGGTTGTCATTGTTGTTGTTTTTTTAATTTTCTGGGCCAATTCAATTAAATTTTTTGTTTTTTTTGCAATCATTCAATTTAATTTAATCAATGATCAGTTGTTTGTTGTTGTTTTTATTGTATTACATGCAGTATAGTTCATTGGTTTTTAATTTATCGTATTGTGTTTTTGTTAAATATAGTTTTTTTTTAATTTATTATTGTATACATTAAATTGTTTTTTGTTTTGTTTTCCTTTCTCTTCTCCTTTTCTATATAAGTTGGGTTTTGTTAGACATTTTACCTCGTTTTTTTGGGGTTTTCCTAAGTGTGTGGTCATTATTTGAAGAAAAAATTGTAAATGCTTGTTTCTGAATTTGTTTCAGTGTTTTTTTTATTTTAATTTTTATATAATAATTATTTTTTTTTCAGAATCGATACTCATCACTTTTAAATCCCTTATGGTAACAGCAACGCTCTTATTCAAAGCAATTCTCTTCCTATCACACACACACACTCTCTCTCTTTGGGTATTAGAGCCGTTACTTTGTGATAAATAAAACGATGATCTTTTGTAGAGATGGAATGTTTTAAGAGAGAGCATTGCTTTAGTAAACAAGATTCTGTTTACTTAGGTGTTTGTACGTACCACAGGTGTTTGTACGTAGCTCTGTATATGTGACATTTACTCTTTAGCAGATGACCTCTTAGCCCATCTACTCAATAGAATATGGCCTTTGAGTCAAGTTATGCATTTTATCATAACATTTCTCCCCATTCACTGCATACTTAGTTGTCATTTGTACATGAGAGAGAATATGACGCTCATTAAGGGATTCTCTTTCAATTTAAATGGTTTCTCTTAGCTTTTCGCTGGAAATCAAATATTTTGATTATTTTTAAATGTTTTATTATCGTTTTTATTATTATTATTATTTTAATTTAAATATTTTGTTCTTGGAATAAAGTATTTCATCTATAGACACTTAAATTTCTCATCATATAATAATATGTGTATGTTTTTTAATTTTCTTTTTTATTTATTATAATATAATAATTTTATTAAATATAATTTTTTGTTTTAATTTCTTTTTATATAATTTTTTTTTGAGTAAAGGATTCCATTTTTTTTGTAAATTACTATAATTAATTTACATTTTTTTCCTTTTTTGTGTAACTTTCCTGTTGGTTTTGTAGAAGAAGGGAGGGAGTTCCGTCATTTGTTTAATAGGGGGTTTCCATTTAGAGTTTATTGGTATTGTTAGGTTCTATTTCTTTTTTGCTTTTATTGTAAAGTTTTAAAAACATTTGTGTTTTTTCTCTGTGGTATTCAAGTCTTCTGTGTTTTTTTGTGTGTGTTTGTATTTTTATTATTATTATTTTTTATTTTAAATACAAAATAATAAAAATTCTTTAAAGGCTTTTGGTAGGTTACATTTAGTTTCTTCTTCTTCTGCTGCTGGAATAAATAGTTTATAGTGTATAAAAAACAGTTTCATAAATATATATGTGTTATCAGTTTTTTGTCTGAGTTTAAGGACAATTTTGTGATAGGTAGTTTAAGGAGTTCTTTTCTTGATGGGTTTCAATACTTGAGGTTTGAGGGGGAAAAAAATAAAAAAT